AGTTTCAAAAGTTAAAAAATTGCAACCTTTATCTTTCTGTTCAGTAGTCTGCAACTGTTTAGAGCCTCTGGAGTGACGTTGAGAAGTAGAATTGACAGTTTTTAGCCTGTCGGTCCATTGTATAAACTAATGATAATTATGATTATAGTATACCTCCACAATGGCGGCCTGAAAATTTTTCCATTTACGGTATCCCAATGAATATTCATTATAAATCGGCAACATCATTCACAGGAAAGATATGAATACTAAAATTCTACAATTATTAACATTAGTCCTTTTCAATAAATTTAATGCAACAATCTACCATTAATGCCATTTCTTTTATACTTCAACATTATCTTCTTGATTTAAAAATACAATCTTTTTCAATAGCTTGACAGGTGACTGAGATTGAGCCATGCATTCTTTCCATTTCTCATGAATAGACCGACCTACCAAACTCTTCAGTTAAATTCATGTAAGAAATATCCAGTTCAAAATAAGGCTCTGCTGTAGGAATAAGAGAGTGAAACACGACTTCTAGAACAGCCAGTGCATTCTCTTCTGTCAGTATTGACCCTTTAAGGTTTAAGGAATGAAGACAACCAGGCTTGATGGCAGATAAGGCATCTACTAAGATTGGTACTGTGTTGCTTTGATCGTGAATCTTCTTAAGCTCTAAGTTCCAGGATTTTGCAGTAACTATACTAAACAGTGAAGAGATAATGGTAATGTTTTCAGCATTGACGTAACAGCTAATAGAAAACACTTCAACTTCAATGGATTCAAGGCTTGAGAAAATGGTGATACAACTGCTGCCATTACAATCAAACTCTCCTTTCATTTTAAGTGATTTTAGAACAAGATGAGGACAAAAAAGAGATGAGAAACTGTGAGAAAACGAACAGCTTGAGAGCTTCAATGACTTCTTCTCATTGCATTGAATAGTCAACGGGTTGGGGAGTGGATCGAAATAAATGCTAGGAATATTTTTAAATGACAGACTCTCTGGATATGGAGAAGAGAAAAATGCTCTCAAAAATGCTAGAATGACATCAATATTCTCATTTATGGAGCTGTAATAAGAGAACGTCTTGAAAACAGGACGATAAAATAAATCTTCAGTAATACACTGAAGAATTGGGTTGCCAATGTCTATTGCAGGGCCTGAAGAAAAATGCAAAGTCAGAGATGTCAGCTCTTGCTGATGCTTTAACACGTCAAATAGTATAGGAGATGGTGTCTTATTAATGCCCACCTCAAGATACTTCAAATGACACTGTGAAGGCTTCAGAAAATAAGACAACAAAAACTCTAAATTGTCCTTGAACACACCAAACGCGACCCTATTGAGTCACAGGGAATGACACTATCCAAAAATGTTTTAGCTATTGTTGTATCTTGCTTATTACCGGCGTTAAATTCAACTGATTGCAACAAACTTAAGAATTGTGATAGTTTCTGCTGAAGAGTTTCATCCTTGAGATTTGCATAATTGTACGGTTTCTCCCCATTTGGCCCCAAGTACATGCCTTTTCCATAAAAATCTACAACTAAATGCTTCAGTTTCACATTACAGACATCAACTAATGTATCGATTAATGTTTCATGTAAAACTTCTTCATCATAAACTGTGCGATATCGCTTAGGAAAGGCTGAACATGTGGTATACATCTCTATGCCATGAAGACTAGTGATACTGCCATCATTAAAGAAACGATAGAAATGCGTAGGAGGATAAAAGTCACACACACCATAGAGCAAATCTTTTGGAAAATGGCCAGGTTTGTCACAGTGACATTCAGTGTTCCAAAACCTGTTGTAGAATGGGAAAAAAGCAAAAAAATATGATTCCTTCCAATTGCAAGAGAGCCCTTTCTTATTCTTCCATTCAGTAGGAGTGTACAAATTGTAACCTTCATCAGCTGCTTGTTCTTTTTCATGAATTGGCAATCTCTTGTTAAAAAGTGTCTCCCATATCTCATCCATTGCTATACCATGAGTGAATGGTGTGTTTTCTAGTCTACATACATCAATGACTGGCAATAGGAGCAGGAGCTGGCGGCGAATAAAGA